CTCTCTCACTCACTCACACACACACACACACAGACACTCACAGACACACTCACACACCTCTGCAATGCTCTCCAGCCTAACACTCACAGAACTACTGGGAAATACTATAAAACATCAGACAAAAATGTCATGCCCATTGTGATTATAAATAAGATACACATGGTACAACAGTCCTAATGAACAAGAATAGCAGGCCATCATCGCAAAACAAATTAAATGAAGACTTTCTAAAAGTTGGAAAAGTTGAGTTCATGACTTTTCTAGCTGAGGTAATAAACTGTGCTGCACAAACTGAAAGCAGAACTGAGAGGATAAAAATCATAATCAAGGCAGCTGAAAAACATCTTCAGATTGAGGGAATCACTTTGGAACAAGTCAATGAAAAACTTAAGGGTCAAATAGCAGATACACAGGCATCATATGGAGGCTCTTAATGGAGATATCAGTTCTACAGTGGAATGCAAGGAGCTTAATCGCTAATGGGCAAGAATTTAAAAAGGTGATAGATGATAAAGAATTCAAACCACACGTAATATGCATTCAAGAGACATGGTTGAAATCACATTTAGATTTTGTAATACAAGGTTATATAGCTATTCGAAGAGATAGACAGACAGGTAGTGGTGGAGGGGTGGCAATATTTGTTCAAAATGAAATTTCACATAGGATTATAGAAGTGAGTGATGAACATGAATCAATCATAGTAGAGGTGTTTTTAAGAGGACAGTGTATCACGGGGATTCCTTTTTATAATCCTTGCAATAGACTAAGTATGGCAGTGTTAGAAAGTGTCTTGGGAATAGGTAATCAAAAAGTGATATGGTGTGGGGATTTTAATGCGCACAGTACTCTATGGGGAAGTATTCGAAGAGATAGACAGACAGGTAGTGGTGGAGGGGTGGCAATATTTGTTCAAAATGAAATTTCACATAGGATTATAGAAGTGAGTGATGAACATGAATCAATCATAGTAGAGGTGTTTTTAAGAGGACAGTGTATCACGGGGATTCCTTTTTATAATCCTTGCAATAGACTAAGTATGGCAGTGTTAGAAAGTGTCTTGGGAATAGGTAATCAAAAAGTGATATGGTGTGGGGATTTTAATGCGCACAGTACTCTTTGGGGAAGTGATAACACTGATCATAATGGTACGATAATAGAAGAAATGCTGGATTTGAAGGGTCTGGTGTGTATGAATGATGGTAAAGCTACTAGAATTGATTTGGCTCGGGGTAGCTGTTCGTATATTGATCCAACAGTGGTGTCAGAATGTCTGATTGGCTAAAGAGTACGAGTGACCCGCGTGGGAGGAGTTCGCTGCCAGGAAAGTCTCAAAAATACGCACACAAATCTTGGGTTTCATGCATGTGAATTGGGATACGCATGTGTGTCTTTTGCATTAATTATTATTGAGACTAATTGCTTCCATAATCCTCCAACATCAGGGTAAATTTACTGCCATAATCCAATTCTCACGTTCCCAGTGGAAAGATTTATTAGGTGTCATTACAAACTCAGTAAAAATTTCAATTCAGAAACAAAGCGATTTACACTGTTTGGACATGTTTTGTTTTTTTTCTCAGATATTTCTGTAATTGAAAAAATACTGTGATGTGAGTGCAATATTTTATTCATATCATTTGTCTATAACACATCCCTATTGTAAAGATTCCATGATCTTCATGAAGCTCCAGCCTCTGAAGTCCTCCAGGGTGAAGGAGGCTATGGTTATGTGCATGCTTTGTTTTGTTGATCAGGTGAAAATTGCTGACAAGACACCAGATATGCCATATATCGTAGGTTGTAAGTAGCCTGCGCTTTCTATATTATTGCATCTCATTCACTGTTTTCAGTTTCTAAAATCTTATATTCATGTTAATCTGAGAAAGCACCTCTATCTAAGCATCATATGTTCTTTCTTTTAGCTGGTCATCCCAAACACCTCCCCATAGAGATCAACCTGACACTCATGGCCAATAAGGGCCCCAGCCTTCTGCAGATAATTAAACTCCTGGACTGTTAGGACAACCCAAACTACTGCATCATGGTCTCGGGGCAGCCCATGCTCCGATGAAGGCTCGATGAGAAGATGGCACGACATGTTATGTGGCAGGTCATTCATGCCACTAACATTTGCTGTGAGCGTGGAGTCTCCCATCATGATATAAAACTGGAGAACCTCCTGGTGAACACGGACATTTTTTTCTCAGATATTTCTGTAATTGAAAAAATACTGTGATGTGAGTGCAATATTTTATTCATATCATTTGTCTATAACACATCCCTATTGTAAAGATTCCATGATCTTCATGAAGCTCCAGCCTCTGAAGTCCTCCCTGTTGTAGAGGAACAGCAGGAGCAGGACGTCCTCCAACCTCAGGACGTTCACGCTTCAATAAGTTCCTCTAAAGATGACAAAGTGGAAGAGCTGGACAAGGGTAAGATTAATGCCATCATCTAAAACAATACACACATTCTCTCATTCCCAGTTTTTCAAAGGTTCCCCTGAATGAAGATTTGAGTAAGCATTACTTAATTCATATGTGACCCTAGACCACAAAAGCAGTGTTAAGTCGCTGGGGTATATTTGTAGCAATAGCCAAAAATACATTGTATGGGTCAAAATTGTAGATTTTTCTTTTATGACAAAAATAATTAGGATATTAAGTAAAGATCATGTTCCATGAAGATATTTTGTAAATTTTCTACTGTAAATATATTAAAACTTAATTTTTGATTAGCAATATGCATTGCTAAGAACTTAATTTGGACAACTTTAAAG